TCCTGCTGGTCAACTCACTTTTGCTGGTGGCTCCTCGCCCTTCCAACACCGCGGTCAAATTCTTTTCAACTGTCTTCAGGTGGCTGGAAACTGCCGCGGCCGTCTTCGCATTGCCCGTGTTCATGCAATCACCCGCCGCGAACACATTAGGGAAGTGTTTCGACTGAAAGGAACAACTTTTGTAGAAGAAACTATGGTATACTTATAACGAACCTAACGAACCTAGTATGAGACTAGGTTCGTTAGGTTCGTTAATGGCCTGATTTTGTGCTGAGCGGATCGCTCATGAAACCAAGTGCCCTATATTTTTTTCAGGAAAACTCGATGATCCGCAAGAAATCTTCCTAGTAGCGGTCAATCGTACATTCCACAGTTGCTTGGACGAGGATATCGCACCCTACTGTGAAAAAAGTGTGAGAATTGGTCGACAAGATATTAAGACCGTGAGAAAAAGTTCCTAATTACCCTTGAGCAAATTTTTCGCTTTAGTTCTCTTTGGACCCTTCGTTTGATGTGCGCTGAACCCATACATATTCACGTGATTCTTCCCGAAGGAACATTACTTTACTATGATACAATCGCGCAAAAATCCGGCAGGAGAAACGGGACTTCCAATAAAACCTTCTATGCGGACCCACATACATTCTGCTCGGAATGGTACTTCACCACTGCTAGGAATCAATCCGCACCTTTCGCTTTTGATTCGAGGCGCGAATGAGTGGTACACGCTCCATTCCTGCCTGGAGCGAAAGTTGGGTGCGATTCTTGCGAATCACTCAGCATTTATGTGAATAACGCTTTCAAGTATGAACCTTTAGAAGAGATCGAATAGAAGATAAGAAATAGAATTTTGAACTCATGACTTACTCTTAATGTTTTAGGATCCACGTCAACCCAGCCCTTTTCGTCGGTCAGCTCACGACATTCTCGCACAGCCGGTGGAGTGGAGCATGGTGGTGCAATGTGTAGTAATGAGTACTGAAAATATGATATCACTGTTGACCTAATACCATCTGTAGACGCTTGAACCCTAATACCTCGCCACAGCGGAATTCCAGCCTCAAAAGAAGTGGGTACGATTGCTTGGCTGTTCAAAATGAGGGACTATGTAGTAAGTAAACGCCCATGGAGACGACATTTGGCGCCTTTCGCAACACAACAGCCACATTCGAAGGGGCTCAGAAAAGCCATACTCGTTTTCTGCGCGACTTCGTGTCTCCCCAGCCACTGGTCTTCAACCATCTGCGCTTTAGCTCTTACAAAAAGAGGCGCGACGCAGCGTTCGCGGGATCGTTCACGGAAAAATTCTTGCATCCTCATTATGAACATGCCGTAGTGATCACAGAGAAATGCGCGAAGTTTCACCCTAGAAGATTCAGTTTCCAAAGAGAAAACGTTTCATGGACGGTTGAGGGTATGTTGGGCGGGAACAAGGAAACTCGTCGAAAGATGTGCGCCTTGGGGCGGCCATGTACAGGCGTCGCATTGAAAGAATCGGATCAAAGCCCTGAATTCGGGGAATAGAGACGAAACGATATATGATGCAATAGAAAAGAGAAATGTTATTGTCATATGTTTAAAAGGCTAAAAAGAGTTCCTAGTGAAGAAAACAAAAACAAGTGGATCGTTTCCGTCGCCAATATTTGTGACAGATGTACGGCGGGAATTTAAACGCGTGACAGCTCCTCGAGTTTATCGGATTGTTTACGAAAAAACACTTTTTTTGTTCTTATAGTGAATGACTGGTCTCAAGCCAGTGATCTATGGAAATATGAGAGAATTATGGTTTTTCCATGGACGATCCTTTTGAGCCAGTATCAAATAATCTCTTGTACCTGCACTTATACATTAGGCCGATGTCAGACTTTGCGAATCGCGCGATTCGCTAGCGTCCGCGGTCGCGTTGCGGTACCAGCCAATTGAGTGATTCACTGGCCGCGACGCGACCGCAGACGCTAGCGAATCGCGCGATTTGCAAAGTCTGACATCGGCCTTAGGATCTCTTTTCGCGGTTCTTTAGGTTTTTGACGGTAACCATCATATCTTGAGTGACATGGCAATACTTTGTGATCTTTCTTTTCGCAAAAATGATTCTCAAGTAGACGCTCTCAGTTGTGATAAACGACACCACGTTCCTTACTGATGGCCAACTCATAAGTCTGCGTTACGACGCCACCTGCCCACCCCCCGCCCAAAACCCCTTCTGCCTTCTGAGCAGAACAGGATTCACAAAGGTTTGGGTTCCTATATTTTTTGCTTCGGTAGGCGAGCGATTATTGATTATTGCGCACACAAACTTACCGGTATCTCTGAATATTCTCCATTCGGTAGGCTGTTCTCGTCGAGAAGCTCGAATTTGGCGATTTTATTCTTCGGATCAACTTCGATCAAATTATGCCTCGTACGTACGTCGATGTTCCTCTCTTTAGCAACTTTGACCAACGACTTCAAATAACCCTCTATTCCGAAGAGCTGAAAACAGTTTTACTGATATATATAACACATATACGCTTCGTGACACTGGAAGGCCCATGTTGGATGATTTGAGAAATGGGATAAGGCATCACCCCAGCCACCACGAGGCTCTCGACAGGAGCCCGTCGCCACAAGAAGGCGGAGTTGTGCGCTCCTGGGAGGTCAGGTCACCACAGTTGCGCGATCATTGAAGCTTAAGGTTAAGTTTGGGTTTAGACTTAGGTTAAGGCTTATGCTTACACATTGGCTTATGCCTAAGCCTATGATTGGGCCTAGGCTTAGTCCTAAGCTTGCTCCGAGCGAATGAACGGCGTCTCATTTTAGGTGACCTGACCCCAGGAGGAGAAACGCTACGCATCAAGAAGGCAGAGTCAGCGGACGAATCACAGCGCGTACTAAAGTGATTTTGCGTCAAGTTGAATGGAATGTGCCATTGCACAGCACGCGCTGTGACCCGTCCGCTGAATCTGCAAACTCGTCACGCGACAGGCTCCTTG